ATTTTTTAGTAGAGATGGGATCTCTATCTCTTGTTCAGGCTGGTCTTGAACTCCTGACCTTGAGCAATCCACCCCCGTCGGCCTCCCAGAATGCTAGGATTACAGGTGTGAGCCACCACACCCAGCCAAAAAAAAAAAAAAAGATTTTCTAATCAGAAAAAAGCTAAATATTGTGTTTCATTCTGCACATTCTTAACATTCATGAGCACATACATTAAATGCTTTAAGATATAATACAATGATCATCAGATTTTGTTTAAAATATAGTTTTGAAAATGCTCAACATCATTAATCATCAGAAAAATGTAAATTGAAACCACCTGAGATACCACCTTACCACCTTTAATAGCTGAAAACAATAGATGTTGACATGAATACAGTGAAAAGGGAATACTCATACACTGTTGGTGGGAATGTAAATTCGTACAACCAGTATGGAAAGAAGTATGGAGATTCCTCAAAGAACTAAAAGTAGACCTACCATTCCATCCAGCAATCCCACTACTTGGATATCTACCTAAAGGAAAAGAAGTCCTATCAAAAAGACACCTGCACTCATATGTTTGTCACAGCACAATTCACAATTGCAAAAATATGGAATCAACCCAAGTGCCCACAAACTGATGAGTGGATAAAGAAAATGTGGTATATATGTACCATGGAATACTACTAAACCATAAAAAGGAATGAAGTAATGTCTTTCACAGCAACTTGGATGAAACTAGAAGCCATTATCCTAAGTGAAATATTCCAAAAATGGAAAAACAAATACTCCTTGTACTCGCTAATAAGTCAGAGCTAAATGATGGGTATACAGACTACAGAGAGTGGTATAACGGACATCGGAGACAGAGGAGGTGAGGGAGGTGGGGTGAAGAGATCAAAAATCACCTCTTGGGTACAATGTACACTGTTTGGGTGACAGGTACACTAAAAGCCCTGACTTCACCACTATATAAATCACCATGTGACAAAAAACCGCTTGTGCACCCTAAATCTATTAAAATAAAAAAATAAATAAGTAAAACATAGCTTTGAAAATGTTTTCGACCGCAGACTAATTCCTATGGATATTCAAAAGGAGCATGCTCTTCAAACACACTTTGGGAGAACCATAGCGTCATACTGAGTTTTGGGCACACAATGATTATATTTACAAGAGTCTCTCCACACTTTAAAATCAATTAACTTTAATATAGGTTGCTTCTTTTCCATTAAAGGTACATTTTCTCAAATATTGCAGATTGTAACGTCTAGCTTCTTTCTAATCGGTTCCCTATCTTGGGGATATTTAATGTTTCTACTCTTGCAATTGCTTTCTAATATTGTCTGCCTTACCCAAAGTTAGAAAATACATAATTATGGAAAGTAAATGTTGTTTTCTGAAATTGTTACTTCTCTGGACACTCTTTTGTATGCATTGCTTCAGTATTTTCTTACTTTGTATGTTGAAGAATGTTTTGAATCTCTTGTTATATTTTATAGTATTTTAAATCTATCATAGACTATTTAAATCTTCATAACTATACTTTCTATTTCCTAAATATCATTTTTTTTAACCCTATAGTTTTAACCTGTCACACATTTCTGCAGTGCCTTGTACAATGGATTTCAAAATATAAAAATAAAGCTCATTCTGTTGGTTTGAAGACCTATCTAGAAAATAAAATATAAATTGAATGGATACATATCAAGTATATTAGTATGATTACCCAAGGGGAACAAAATAGGAGTAGGAAAGATTAAGGATTAAAATACTGAGAATTATCTTTGAAATGTCAATAATTTATTCTGGTGTTGTTAACCATCCTTGAATGAACTTATCCTTTATCTCCCCAACTAGATATGAGGGCAGGGAACATTTTTTTTAGCTTTTTGAAGTCACGATGACTTCTACTAATTTTCACAAAATTGGAGAATATCACATTTGTGTTGATTTTGGCTGTCATTTGTTTTTATACCTAAATTAATTATAAAGTATAAAGGCTTTATGAGACTTGGTAATGTTCATGCAATTAGTCAATACCAAAAGTAAGACTTAAATTCAACATTCCTTTACAAGCATAGTTTTAGAGAATTAACTTCCAACTTCCCATTATAGTATTTATATTGTAAACGTCAATGAAAATTAGAGTACATGAATCTAATAAATATTAACCTCAAATCCGAATATGTAAACATTTTGCTTTTTCCTTTCCTAATCACAGTGTTTGACACACATCTAAACGATGGGTATACCCAGACATGAAGGTGAAAGGAATACTGAATGCAAAGAGAAAATCTTTGTATAACTCAGGCCATGGGAGAGGTGCTCTGATATCTGTCGAAACCTTTGACATCTCTGTTAAACAGTTTTAGACACAAAGCTGTGATAAATATCTTTGCAGTGGTGGCAGGGTAAAATGCTGACTTTCTTCTTTGAAAGAGCTTGATGACCCACCTTCAAATAATTAGCTTGTCTTGGTATACCAGAGAAGAATATGTAAAGAGCATTTCAAGCAGAATGTGCAGAAACTCTGTCTTTATTAAAGTGCAATTTTAAAGGGGACAATGTGTCACTTAGAGCTGTATGCTCTTCACCATTTTCTTCTCTGTCTCCTTATGGTTCTAAAAATGTGTATCAGAAAAATGTGATATGTGCTGACAAGTTATGGATCCTGCTTTGTAAATGAATAAATCTACTTGGTTTATTAGTTATTAATAAATCAGTAGAACATCAGAATTTACTATGTATAGTCTCATATTCAGCAATGAATTAAAATTCTGTACAAAGTATACATGCGTAACATATTAAAGATATGTGAGGAACAATGTGAGAACAAATTTATTGGAAGTTGCAAAGCGTGCAGAAGTGGCCATGCTTTGTATCGTTAGTTGGGTCCGTTTTTCTAAATGAAAATACTTGGAAGTTAAGCATGATGGTTGAAAGCATAGCTCTGAGTAAGACCACCAAGGGTGGAATCGTGTTTCTGCTACTTATGTGACTGGGTGTTCATGAGCAACTACTCAACTTCTTTGTGCCTCATTTTCTTCAGCAGTAAAATGGGGATCATCACAATAACACTTACCATATGGGAAGCCTATAAAAAATGAAATAAAAAGGGTTTAGCACATTACCTAGAGCACAATTACCATTGAATGACTGTCAGCTAGTATAGTGATTAGTATGTTGATATAACACTTGAAAGTCTTAAAAAGTCTTCACAAAATCTTTAAAACAGTCAATAAATACTCCCTAGATTAAATTTGGCAAAAAACATTCAAGAATTTTGAAAAATATATTGCTCATTTTTAGTAAAAATATGAACTTTCTCTCAAATTAATTAGAATACATATGAAGATAAAGATAAGGTAATCTAGATGCATGTGAGAATGTAATAAACTTT